TTGGGAATAGGCAAACGATGTTCTATATCTCAGGGAAAAGTGTGCTTAAACATGAGTCAAAACTACAAAGTAAGTTCAAAGTTTGAGTATTTTAAGGTATATGCGATTCTAGACCTGCAAGTGTGTCAAAAGGTTCTTAAATGTTGCCGCTGTTGATCAAAAAAAGGGTCGCTCACTCTCGACAACACTCCAAGTACAGTATCTTTGTAACGGCTTCTTGCCGGTTTTCTAACAACCATTTAGTTCGAAAGTAGATGAAAGCGACCGATCCCACATACTAGAACACAGAGTGGCCACAGCAGACATCGTATTGATTTCATGCAGAAAGCTAGTCAAAATAGCTTGTCGTCAAGAAGGCACAACAGCGTAGAAAGTCGTCGGCAAGCGATGCGGTAACAGTTACCGTAGCTAAAAGTATCAGGACCATTTGCGAATCACACCAGGCCACCTATTGAGTACAAGGCAAATTCAACACGTTCTGCAAAAGGCTGCGCAGATTAAAAATAGCATTTTGTTAGAATGAATGGTTTACTATTGGTCCTGGCTGATAGCATAGCACAATGCTGTCCGTTCGTAACTATCTATGTAGAAGATAACGATATTCAACTATATAGTTGAACCAACGCACTTTTATGGCTTCGGCTGAATAGGGTTATTGCAGCTGCTGGTTCGAAGACGAGACTAATTGTTCTTTCAACCAGTATCAATGTTTACGGCTAGCCCGAGTAATTATAATCACATCGTAACGTACGGCCTAAATATGGACGGCTTGTCCTGCAACGAACGCTGTTGCACCTTTAGCCACTGTGAAGCCTTAGACAAAACATTGCGCCTTGCCATGTAGCCAGCTTGTTTCAGCAGGAGTTGCTATTCATCGACGCTTGCAATGTATCGCGTTGTACAGTTATGCGAACAACGTTAGTGGTCAACGCTGGGGCAGAAACACCCGTCTCTTCTGTAGTACATGGATGCCAAAAAAAAAAAAGCCGAAAGCGAATGCTACCTACGTCACAACTGTGCTAAATTGTCTCTCTAAATGTTTTACGCCTGGAAACGTTTCATTTATGTTCCCACGTAGATCCCTTGCAGGAAACCTCTTTTAAACGCTATTTTTTCTGGATCACCTGTCTTCATTGTACTAGTAATCCATCACGAGTGCAGTTGCGGATCGAAAGCTTCAACCTATCTTAAAGTAGATCGGGGCTGTGGAAGTAATTATGTTTAGCCAAGGTCTTTGTTGCTGGTAATAGTTGAACGGCGAAAAGACTTGGCCGAGCAGTAGCGCCAGACGCGTTATAGGGTCTCCAGAAAACCTACTACACAAAGCGGCAGTCGGTAGAAGTAATATTTATTAATGAATTACCCACTCTATTTGGGCGTTGCTCGTAATAATGAAATGCGACTGCTCGGAACAAACTCCTCCACGGTAGTTCCATCTCGAGAGTCTGGGGCAGACCAGATCTAAAGCTGCATTGTCTGGCCTAAATCCTCTAAGCGCTGACATGTTTGCTTCGAATAAAGGGCATGGGAAACTCTTAGCGCGTTAGTGCCTTTCGAATCGTCATATTGTCATCGGCTATCACATTGGTCAAAATTATAAGATAGTTAGGATAGAATTAAAAACATTTTTTTTCGAAAAGGTAACTTTATATTTAGGACAATGCCTTCTTCATTGTCACCTTTAGCTATTTCGAGTTCAACGTTGCCAGTACTGTTTTCCTGTAAAATAGGACAAGGCGTTCTTCTGATCGGAATTGTCAAACTCTACCGCTTTGCAATTTTTTAGAAACAGCACATAATAACAAATTATATGGTGGTACTCACCGGCTTGAATCGAGTAAACACAGAAAAAACGATGCTTGAAACCGTATAGCTATCGGTAATATTAACATTATGTTACACACTTCAATTACACGAATATCATTTTCAACAATCCTCTTGTACAATGGATCAATTTTTTTTGTTTGGCAGTAAAATTTTGGAACCCATTGTTTATATACGATCTTCTATTGCTGTTCAGTCGTACATGCCGGGTACAAATCGCGAGGTATTACTTCTAACTCGTGGGCGTCTTTGCTGTCGTTCCGGAAGCGTGCACATTTACCATCTACCTAGTACAAATACCTAAATACCTCTAAAATCACAACAGAAGCAAAAAAAGCAAAAAATAGAACTTGTATGAATTATGCAGCACGTACGTACAAGGCCCCAAAATAACCTACTCAAGGGAACAGCTTATGTAATCCCAATTGTACGCTGGATATATCTAGACGAGACTACTGGCTATGATACCAAAATACTTAAAATTAAATAACAAACAATATCATTCATTGAAGCAAAAAAGATGTCGAAGCGTTTACTACCAGCGGTAAGAAATCTATCAGGTGAGACGAATCATGCAGCGGGATAGACCATGAGTAAGATACATAGCCCAAAACAGGAGAGAAATCTAACTCTATAGCTGGATACGCCTTGCATTAGTTTATAAATTATACTTTTACACCTTGTTTCGTTAATAAATGCGAAAAATTTAATCCATAACTGCTCTGTATGCTGCTCAATACATTACTACGTATTAGGTGGCGAAACTTTTGCTACTTAATCATAGAAAAGCATCGAAATTACGCTACGTAACTACAGCTAACTACGCTCATGAGTCAAAATGTCCCTCTTTATCTCCCTAGCTAGTAGAGTACCAAAGCACTAGACCAACCTATTTTTGTTGTTGTTGCCAATGCAACCTGTGTTGGTGAATTCCCGCTAAACTTTGAACTGGCAAGTCTCTCAAAAAACATTAATCAACAGCCTGAAGAGGACCTTTACCGGCTCACGTTGTAAGCCGAGATCACGACGGAAGGCCTTTTCTCGCTGTCGGTCACATGCTGGCTGTGGGCTGGTGCCTACATTTTTTAGAATAGCTTTTTTCCTTGTTCGGGTACGTGTGCAAAAAACACCCGGTAGGGATTCTGTTTTTTTGTTCGCCCACTCCCTCCTTTCTCTTCTTTTCTATGGTGCGGCAACCTGGAGAAGACGGCCACGTTCTGTCTTGCGCATACAGATAGGCGCGCAACATGTGAACACACATTCGCTGCTTACGAATACACGGCTTGTGAAATATTTATCTGGGCCTTCGAAAAATAGATGGAGTTTTGGATCAGCCACAGAAAAAACGAGAAAGACGCCAGCGTATATAGTCGTGAATTTTCAAGCCATGCAATCAACTGTGTTGCTGGGCCGTCGACTTGTAGGTTGACTTCGTTGGTCGATCGAACCGTCGCAGCAACGAGCGCTTGCATCATTTTTTCTCGAGGAAGAGAAATAGTCCAAGGAATCCAGACGAGAGGAACAGAATCAGTAGTACGCTGCCTGCCTGCCTGCCTGCCAACGTTATCAGTAAGGCAACAGGCAGACCGTGCTACTATTGGACGAGAAAAACCTACTAAAAAATGCGAGTGATCAATAAACGATAACGACAGACTGGAGCGGTAGGCCAACCTCTACAACAAATCCAAAGTTCCCAAGTTGCATTGGACGATAAGTTACAGAAGTTCGATTTCGGCCTCTAATGCAGTCCTAGTTCTGACGCAACTGCTAGCGATGGCAGCGTACAAGGAAATGATCAACGTCGTGCAATGGCAGCGAAAGTGAACTAATTACTAATGTATAATTAAGCTTAGTAACATGGTTGGTTTTTGCAAGAAACGCTTATCTGACTTATGTGTGAATGTAGCGACCTCGAACACGAGGAAATATAGTAGCACTATGAGAACATTGATGCACCGATGTACGAAGGGTATGTACACCTCTGAATTCCTCTGCTGATGAAATCATTTAGAACTGGATGTCCTATGTGCGCACGGGGATCGTCGACTTATGAAGCTTTTGCTTTGTAAAACATTCAAATAGCTAATACGAAATGTCGTTGATGGGTAAGAAAATGCTAACACGAGGCGAGGTAAAAGCAACTTTAGATTCCACAGAAATTTTGTGTCTTCCATTTGAAATTGGTCTTTTAATTAAAAAAAAGTATGCCTAGTCTAGGATTCATCTCGCGCTTGGAGCCTACACTATCGTTATTATGTGGAGGCTTAAGAAAAAAAAGGCAGGAACCGAAAAAACTTAACAATGGTTCGCCAAAATGAGCAAGGCATACATCGAAGTTTTAGGTCAACCCTAAATCTTATAAACACAGCCATAGAAAGACAAGCTCGTTTTTATAGTAGACCTGACACGAAAACTGAATAGGAACGGATACAGGTAGTTAAGAGCCGATGCCGCACGGAAGAGCCTATCGGTAAGTAGTAAAGGTCATCTGGGTAGAGAGGTGCTCGGCGGCTTTCGGAACAAGTTGACAACAAAGGTCGACCAAAAGATCAAACGATGATATATTTTTGGCTGTTGGTAGAAAAATTGCGTGTTATCCGCTAGCGCGTTGTAGATAGCATTTACAGGGCAGCTGTCGTCGCAGAGGTACAAATATCAAACTAAAAAAAAGACGCCATTACAGCAGTAGCAGAAGAGACGGATGGCAAACACGGAGTGGCTACCCAGGGACTAGAACTAAGTGAACGTTGCCGCCTGGCGCTGGTAAACCAAAATAGCTAAACTGAGAACAACTCACGTGTGTAACTAACCGAAACGCGAAAAACGTTTCACCCTATACCGTAAAGGTACAATGAGATTTTTAACTACGAGCACAAGCTATCTGTATGTATCGATATCTAGAAATAGAACTGCGTCGTCATTGATACGAAAATGGTTCTTGTTTACTAATTTCGAGTAGTATAAAATGAAAATTAATTTATACGGCGGCACTGGACGTATAAACCTGTCTAATCTCGCCGATAGAAAGCCGTACAGAGCCACCAAGCGAAGGAAGTATAAGGAAGATTAAAAAAAAAAAAAAGTACAACAACGTTTTACAAGCAATCCAAAGACACTTTTATTGGCTATATCTAACTCTTGAACGTTAACTGTAACAGTGTGTGCTTTTGGAAAAAAAGATATAGCAATAATTACTCTAGTACGTTCATAGCATACTTTTTAATGCATTGACTAATGTGGTGAACGGAAGTTAACTTAGCACATTGGAAAAACTTTAGTAAGCCAGGGGTTTGCAAGCGTCGCGTCTGCCTGCAATCATTTTTCAAATCTTCTTAATGATGTGTCAAACCGAATCTTTCTTAAAGAACCAACGAACGCCATCAAGCAGCTCCTGTAATCATATTAAAGGCCAGGGCGCAAATGGCCAAACTGAATGGTTCGAAAAGGACCAATTTTGGAAGCAAAAAAACAAGTAGGCGCAGATTGAGGAGCCAGTACGCATACGCTAAGTACAGTTCTAAGGGGAAAATATAACATATAAATCGTAAACGTAATGTATTAGTTAGACGATCTTATTTTTTCGTAGCGTTCTATTTGTGGCAAACATATTTGTGTATACCGTCCGTCCTAACCATTTGTAACTATCGTGCATGCGCGAGTTAAAAACGTTAACTCTATTTGAAATTCGCTCAAGCTAAATGCATTACTATAGGAAAGTATATTTAAAAGTCTCAATGAGAAGCTCTACTTACTTTACGTCACGGTCACAAGCAGATCAGGCGACATTAGTTAAACTAACAGTTCTCTATAACTGTTCCAACGCAGATGCCCATGAGTGGTAATTTCGTAATGAATCTGTAATATTTCGCAGCGTTCTTTATGCGCGTCTGTTGGTAGGGTCAGCTATGGTCCCACCAACAGACAAACAATTTGAAACGTAGCAACAACGCTTTGGTGAGGTCATCAAGCACGAAGCCAGTCAGCGCCAGAAGAGGCGACAGGGCAATCGAAATAGCCAAAGTAATGAAGTGAAATTAATATTGATCGGATTATTGAAATTTTATGCTGAGAAAAGGCAGAAAAAAGCTTTAGTCTTCCTGGGCTACAGGCTGAATACGATCTGTCACTTCCCCTGCCCAGTTTCCCAAACTTGTTCAAGTGAAGGCATCGAAGGCGGTTGGTGCCTTCTTCTGTCCGAATCATCACGAGTGCTGCGCTGTTCGTACGCAATCCAAGACACTGTAGCCTCGCGACTAGTGTTCAAGCACGTTCCGCAATGCCAGTCGCTGTTAATAATGATAGGGCACCTCAGCAGGTTTTTCCCTGGGATTTAGTTGAAGGAAGTGCACGACGGGACGACGATAACACACTGCTCCTTATCGTGGTAAATATTCGGAGCGAAGCACTTCGGTGACGACCAGGCTGAAGGCCCTGTAACGGAGGAGCGCTGAAATGATCACTTAGGGTGTTCAATTCATCTGTCAAGACACAACACATAACCGATCAAAAATGGATAGTCTAATAGGAGTCTGTGCATAGGGAAAGTGGATTCGAAGTTAGGCTAACAACCGAAGCAGCAGCAGCAGCACCTGTACTAACTTATTTGTTTAGAAGAGGCCTATATTTTTGTACCTGTACGACCTATGTACTGCCCGACTTAGGCCGTGCTTCCGCGTCTCCGTCCCCGGGAATATAGGTGTACCACGCTCCCGATCAAATTTTAATACTGCCATGCAGAAAATTTACATATTTTTGACAAGATTTCGACGAATGATTATGTCATTGAATTAGCTATAGTCCAGTTCTTACCACTGGCTAGCATACGTTTTACCTTTTCCCGTTATTGTAAGTTAGATATTGAACGACAGAAAATTTCCTCTGCCAGCGGACAAGGGCAAGCATACATTACAGAGCCCGTCGTTGCACCCGCACCAGTGACCCTTAACCGATCGATGGTAACTGGAGGAAAAAACAGACAGAATTGAGGAGGACAAATTTTACTTTCGCTATGATAAAACCGCCAACGCCAAACGCGATAGCTGAGTCAACTAATCGTCTCCAAAGAAAGCGTTATTCCACAACGGAGCAGTTAGCTCTATGACCCTATGTGTCGAGGTCTCCAAAAAAGCATTAACGCATAATGGTGCGTATGTACGACACGCTTTTACTCTTGGTAGGTCTTTAATGAAATCATTTTGTTACGGTTAAACCTTTTGCCGGCACGGCGCCAATAATGAACGCGTCTAATGCTCAATAAGCTAAGCCATCGAGATTCTTATAGACTAATTAGGACATGTCCTATTAGCTTGGCTTCCGTCATTGAATTGACAAGGGATGACGTTGGGACTACGTCGCATGTTGCCAGCACAGAGTTATGCTAGTTGGCAGGTAATGTCCAATGGTTTACTGTACTAAGAATAATGTAAAAAAGACCTGTGCAAATAAGACGTGACGCTCACTGATGTGGTTTTGTTAAACCCCGAAGCAAAGGAAAACAACACGTAATTAGATTTGTTCACGGCGTGTTGCAGATAAACGCTGATAAATACGTCTCGTTCGGCATCAGCGAGAATGCTCTTACATATAGCATGCAACTTTAGCTGTTGATTCTGTCCATACGGCCTGATCGTAGGCCTGGTATTCGTATGACAATGTTTCTACCTTTCACTCATGTTGGTAAAAAACTTACTCTTGGAAAACAAAAATGTTGGAATGCTATCTTGTACAATATTTTTCTTCTATTTTATAGAGTCATTGTCTTTATTTCGAAGACTGTCAGAGACTCTAGGCTGATCATGATTTGTTGTTTACTACTTAGTGAAGATCAAATTGTTAATCACCCATAAAGCCTAGTATTGGAAAGAAGTCAAGTGACATAGTTTTTAATTCTTCAATTCCTAAGACGCTTAGTATAATATATTCATTTTTTTTTTTTTATTGTCACAGCTCATTCAGTTCTGGCAATGATCATAAACTCCCCAATATTTCAATTAGAAGTGAAAAATCGACCCCCTTTGTTGCTGCGGCTCCCGGTTGTCTTGCTTGTTGCCCCGGTTGTGTGGGGCGGACCCCGAAAGCAAACGAAACTCCGTTTGCTTGCAGTTGTATTGTGGGGTGTTACGCCCGATAATATGACGCAAGATGCGTAAGCGAACATCAGAAATAGATAAGAGCGAAAATAAATAGATAGACTAATAAATACCCAGAGATTAACATAGTGAATTGCTGAGATACTGTGGGGTTTGCAACAGAGCAAAAACACCAACTACAGCGACGTACGAAAATTTACGATTTCTGCTAATACGCATTAGTTATCACCTCGATCATTCTATGACGGCTCGCCTCATAGCACTGATGACAAAACCAATAAACGAGTCGTTTGTTCTCGTACCGATATTCATAATCCCCGCTCTCGTGGTATTATTACATAGCATGTGTCTTCAGAGAAGAGAGGTTGAAAAAATCACTTAAAATCAGTAAATCCGACATACTGATCGATCTAATTGTCGTAATCGATACGATGCAGACAAAATGATCTAGATTACCCGATGATCGTTTAGTATGCTGCAACGCAGGACTAATCACGATAATAATAGCGAAAGGCATAATGCATACACGTACGTACCTCGGACAGCTGGAATCCTCCTCTGGCTCCATAATACCCTTAGTATGCAAAAATTATCATATTCTAAATAAACAAAAGAAAAAGAAAAAAGCATCGTATTGTGACGACAAACAGAAGACGCGAGGTGAAATAAAAAAAAAGTCATTGCAGGAGATTTGAAACACACAAATATATTAGTGTCAGACGACTCAAGATCGAATGGATTGGAAGTACAAAAAAGGCAATGGAGACATAGATTCGACTGTCTACTGCCTCGTGTCCAACAATAGATAAATATTTGCCGAGAAATGAAGTTATCTTTGAAACTTACCGAGACAAGTAGTCAATGAGATTTGTGTTGTCAGCTCCGCATAAACCCCTTCGTTGGAAAAAATATAGTGTGGAAATATTTTTTAAACTGAATAATGTACTTATTCGCTAACTCACGAAACCCTGGCTTTTTATGATCTTACTGCTTTCAGTTTCTGGACGTCTGGTTTTTTGCTTAGGTATACCGTCTCAAAGTGCAAAGGGTACTAGCCAGAAGCTCTGGGAAGGCTCAACTTTCATGGCTCGTAATGGCGAGAAGGAGTCGAATTGCTTTGAGATACTTAAAGTAAGCGATCTGCGATCTCATGGCCAACATCTCTATCGCGCTCTTTTAAAGACGGATTAGCGAAAAGCGTCGCATAGCATTGACTTACTAGGAAGGCAATAGGATGCGGTACGTATAGCAGAGATTTCGAATTGAATTGATATCATTGTCCTTACTAACGCGCGTATTGAGCAGGTCCTCGAGGATAGGACATCTAGACTTAACCCTGAAGAATGAGTTCATTAAGATATGGCGACGCTGCTACACGGCGCACATTAAATATCATGCTATCTATGTAATGAAGCTAAGAATTGATGTTCTCAAATAGAGAAAGTTGACCCTTAGCTCTGCCATGGCAATCAAATGTTTGAGAAATACAAATCGGCTATCTAACTGAAAACCTCAATTATGCTTGCAAAGTAGCACGAATATCTCCCGTGCCACCGTATAGAATACACTAGAAGAAGCTTTGTGGGGTGTATCCTCGTTCAATGAAGAATGCTGTACAAATACAGTTCTTAATGAATCGTGAGAGCAGGCTTGAAGTTAGCTTGCCTTGTACAAAACATTTATACCTGCTACTATGTATCGATTACTACTTAATTTCCCAACTTTATCATTTTCTCTATTTCTGGGGACGACATCTATTGTGCCCCTGTGTCGACCGGGGCGTTAACGTTGGGCTGAGCTCGCGAGTGACCGGCGCGTGCGCCTTATAAAGGATTACGGACAAATATGCACAATTAAATTCACATCGTTGCTCACGCAGAGTGTGGAGTTGTAATTACTCCCGTGTTTGTTTCAGGACACGGCTACTGGTGAATCTTTCGAAAGCTAGACTAGACTATTGTTGAGCGTCCTACCGCACGCCCGACAGCGACAGTCGTACCTCCATATACGTACAGATTGTTATACTGACGTAGTGCGTTGTCATTGTTCCTGTCAATGTCGACGTTGTTACCCATCAGCATTGGGACGTAGACAAGGAACAGATACTTGGCAATGCATAACAGCTGTGCTACAAATGCGATGAAAATCTATTTTTCGTAAGCCCACAGCGAAGTTATCCACGACCATTTACAAGTCTACTGCTATTAAGTGGGTATACGTACCTGCCCCACGTCAGCGCTGTTGTTAATAGATGTTTTTGATGCTGCCGCACGACTCGTTTTTTACCATGGGGAATTTTTTTTTTGCTAACAAGCTTGAAAATAGCTTTCACATATATATATAACCTTTTCCTGTGCAACTTTTCAACACTCCATTTGAAGCGTTTTGTTCTGACTATCAGGACTCGCACAGGCCCAAAAGATTAAATTTTAAGATATAAGTTTTTCCCTAGCGAAAGTTAAGCTAATACAAGATGGCTTGAAGCACCACATGCGTAACAAGGACGCGAAGATCCGCTTAAATGAAGCACGTAAGCCACCTCTTATCTATGGACCTGTTTAAAACCATAGCGTGGGAATCTACACAAACGACCTTTAAAGATTACTTATACGCGTCTTTTATCCTTAACATATCTCCGAAATGGACGTTAGTTATTAACATCAAGCCTGCTACGTATATAAATATATTATCGATTATAGTGTTGTTGTGCGTTGCTTCGCTTAACGTAATCCGTTTTTTTTCCTGGAAAGGATTGCGATTAGGGCTAAAAAAGCCGATGCTTTATAATCGTTTGCTGTTAAGTTGAGCAGCTCAAAGACGATGATTCGTTCACTATAGTCCTCCATAAAGTTTTACGGCGCTGTGTGAAGTCGGCCTTTAAACGGTCCAAGAAGTTTTTTACGAGTCGCACTTTGTTCGAGAAAAAAGAAGAACCGGTAATAGTGCGTACGCCGTCCTCCAAAATCAACTTTACTGCACTGAAGTCTGTACGACTACCGTAGCGGTGCACGATTCGCGTATAGTTAATTATCCATGATCATTTCCCATTTGTGATCGTGACTATCCGCAGTATCTATCGACAACGCTATTTTGTCCGTGATAATACGCGTGATGCCATTGAAGTCCTCAAAGTTTCCTTCAAAAGCAACTATATGCGACACGCTAATTTTTGCTGAATGATTTGTGGTCGTACACACATATACGCATTCCTACTAACCTCTGCTGTGCTCCTAAGCCACTTAAATATTTTGATTTCCCCGTTCATAGTTCGTGTCGACAGCACCCAGCGTCATTTGTACCCAAACCCGCTGGCCTATATAGCCAGCCCTCCTGGTGGTCATGTTATATAGCTCAGTGCAATGATTCCTATAAAAAGTAACTTGTTTTTAGTTTGCCTCTGCAAACGTAACTTTAGTACAGACGAAACTCCAGCAGTGAAACCTCGTCGGTCGATTTTTTAACAATGTTTCGATAAGATGGAAGAGAAAATTAGCTATTCCATATAGCTTCACCTTTTGAAGCGTGGTTAAAAGAAGTCGGATTATGCGAGTTGCACTAGATCTCTAGTCCGTAAGCATCTGAAATTTATTCATACTAAAATTAAAAAAAAAAATTAAAAACCAATGTGTCTCTGTTTATTTTCAAACGTTTATAGAACCCTATATTCCCATAGGTTTCCTAGATTAGCTTAGGAAACAAATAAAAATGCCCATATACGGTGACACCGTACCCAATGAAATTGAATAGAACACGTAAAAGCTTACGGGAAGCGAATGTCTAGACATTATAAAATGGTCGCAAAGATAGAACTAGAACTATTTTAGAAAGTTATTATTTTACCCGTAAGTAAATCCACTGATGATGCTGGTACTTTTCCAGTTTACTGAGGTCATATGAGATTATAGATTGGACAGAGTTAAAGGAAAATGATAAATTTGCGCTCGGGCATCCGCTCTACAAAAGTCTGTCTATCTATATCTAGAGCCAATATGATTTGCAGCGAATCAATTGCACGGTTGTATCAAGCATTGCATATTACAGATGGAGTAAAGGTAGAAGACCAGCATTCGTTTTGGTTGTAAGCCCCCACTTGTTAGCCTATTAGGACCTCCGTATGGACGGATATCTTCGGCCCTCCCTAGTATGAGCTTTCTCGTCGTACGTTATCTTCCCATAGAGGCGTTTTAACACTTCCAATAACTGGGCGACCGAAAACACAACTTGCTACCATATTAGTAATTGTAGCAAAGCTGCATTCATTAAAGATACTAGCCGACAAGGAAATGAATATTTTTCGAGACAAATCGCTCACAATCGCCATATATTTATACTATAAATATAAAGGCAAGTGATTTTAATGTTACAAAACAAACTGTAGTTACACGAAACAAATCCGTGATCATTTTGTTTTGAAGATCCTTGGTGCTGGGGAACCAACTGCAGCATTCAAGGTTAGAGGCTGTAGCGAACATTTTGTTCATTTTTAGGTCCTGGCCCGACTAGGATTTCGCCCGACCTTTTCTTCATTTAGAACTTCTGCAGGTTAACTTAGTCACCATAATAATACAGATAATTCCTATTCCCTGAGGGTCATATAATTAATTTACTTCATAAGACAATGACTGGATACATTCGTCGTAAATATTATTAGCGTGCGACGATTATGGTCAGCTGTATGGATACGCCATTTTAACATATACGTTATGCCCAGTAAGTTACTAGAAGCTTTTGTGAGATGAAAGTCCGCCTTAAAGGTTAAGCGGGCAGTGGACCAGAAAGCAAGAATGTTCTGCTGAAGAAGCTCAATCGAGTAGGAACGAATTCTCTGGCCATTTGAGAACATGTGCGATACAGAAGTTAAGCTTGTCGACTGTAACTTGTAACCTCAGTGTGAAAAATCTTAAGATATGTGTAAGTTTTTGTGAGCAGAATATAAAAGACTAGATCTATTTTTGTACGCTATTTCCATTATCAGTAATTTTGTACTTGCAACGCGAAGGCATAGAGAGCTGCTTGTTTATCCTCACGCTGCAAAGCTAAAGGTTCATTAGTACTCCGCTGAAAAACCCGTTCCGAAAGATAACGGGGATGCTGCATCGTAACAAGCAGCCTCTAAGGATGACCAAGAGTTCACATCGATCCCCAGACATCAATTAATATGTCACACTTTTGTACTTGTGTATGCCTTTCTAACTAATCTCGACCTTCGAGCGATCTGGGGCGATGCCTGATGGGGTTAGAAAAAGAGATATTCGTACATTTCTTGATTCAAAGTTTCTATTGTAACGCCTAGAAGCTTAACGACGTCCCATCCTGATTCGAGCAAGGATTGATTATTTTAACTGAATATAATTCCGGGAGAGTAGGGGATCAGAACTTCGGTTCGTCGTAAGTCTACTGAGACACGTTTTGTTATGCTGGTTGACAAAGTAATCAGACGCGCAGGAATCAACTTTCAGAATCTCTTTTTAGTTTTTATACTTGGTCACAATTATAATTGCTGTTGATAATACCAGCTAGCGGTAGCACAATTAAATCCGATTCATAAAGACGTAATTTCCAGAAAAAATAGCTTATAAAGATATTATTTCTCCCAGTTAGGCCAAAGCTGCATCGACGACATCCGGGTGCAGTATGTTATACCACGTTTCCGTATACCACCTTTTAGTAACATGCGAACAACGAGTAGAATGCTTAGAGCATTACCTACTTGGAAAAACAACGGTAGTCCATTAATTAACTTAAGCGGTATAAGAAACCGAAGTGTTGATTTAGGTGTCCCGTGATATTGTTGGGTACTAGCGCACATTTCCATGGATTCCAGAACAGTTTTAAGTGCAAAATTTTGTTCTAGATGAAGAAAATTACGGGAGAATTTTAAGGGCCGCAAATGAGGCGCAATTCAATTACATGTTTTATTTGAATGAAGATCAATGTAAACATCTGTCTTGGTACATATGATCCCTCTCTCTCAACCAGGAAATAATGATCTAATTCATATGGCTAAAATTTAGAGTACGAGATAACCGTTGGCCGTTCTAACTAAAGCACAAAGTGTGTGCCAAAATAAAATTTAGCTTCATATATTTTTTACTGATGCCGTTCCATCTATAGAAATTGCATAGTCAATAAACCCTATGTACAAAGTCTTTCGAAAGATTTCGACTCAATTTTCTAGCTAAGGCTCATTTGTCGAACTTCGGTAGTACATTTTTTGCATGTAACACTGAAATTAGGCATACAAAATGGCCAATTTCTGCCTGCGTTTTTTGACATACAGCAGATTTAAGGCGCTAAATTACTACTACAAATTGTCCGTTTGCGATCGGCATGATCAATTGTAAATTTCTTTTTCGCGACTTCTGCGGCCGAGGCCATAGAGATGAGTCGAAACAGCTTATCCCTCATGTCCTCCGAGCAATACGGAAGCTCGAAGGTGGCGCATTCGGTGGAAACATATCAATCAGCGTAGCCATCAGGACGTAGACCATTCGAACCGAATGATCGTTCTCTTTGACAGTGTCTAGTGTAAATATTAATACCCATACGTGTCAATATTTTTAAACTAACTACAATATATACTGAAAAATTTTGATCACGAAAGATGAACGCGGTATGGTCGCCTAGCGAACCTCTATGATTTTCCATTTGACAGAATCCGAATCGCAGTGAGCATGGGTACTCTCTGTTACTGATTAGACATCTTGATTATCGTAATTTTTCCATCGGATCAGTGCGCGAGCTCAGTTAGCCTGGCCTGCAACAACCCTGCGGGCCTTTTCTGCTTGGTTGCGCGATAGCAGGTCATCAACTAGATAGCTGCAGTGAATGACTTGTAGCGTGAACGCTAGGAAGATGCTTTGGGAGAAACGAACCTGCTGCCTTGTCGGGTTGAATAGAGAATAGAGAATATGCAATGCAAGGTGACAAGGTGTGACCTTTCCTAAAGCTCAACGTCCGATAGCTTAAGGTTAATTTTGTGCTTTTTTTGCTAGCTCGGCGTTTTCGTTGCTAGCCCCTGAGTGATTTCGGAACTTGAACAACCTAACGGTATTTCAGAAACGTAACTATGCTCTATTATATTGTACATTATCGTTGTTTATATGTGTTCGAGTCGAATAAATAAAAGTTGTACAGTTACGTAGACCTCAAAAGACTTCGAATGACTTCGAAATGGAACAATGGAACGAGAAAGAGTTGCCTCAAAAACGACTGGTATCGTTTTACCATGGATTTATGCAAAGGATCTAAAAATGGTAGCAGCATAATCAGCGGAAAAACTCTAAGAAAACCTTAACAATTTCAGAGGGAATCATTATATTCCTCAAACTGTATATACAAGCAATAGGGTTAAAATAGCCGGTAGATTTACAAAATGTTTTTCATTTGCGAAAATTATCCATCTAACGATCTACCTAGCTACCTACCTACCTACCTACCTACCGTACTGCACAGGTAATTAATCAGGTTTTAGAATTTCGGTTAATTATTTCGAATATGCTCGCTTTAATAATGCAGGAAAATCATCGTTTTACCTCGTATGTTAAAGCGACAATTTGGGAGGTCACGATAGCTCTATACTAACGTTCGAATATCAACTTTATATTTAGGTATTTTTTCAAGATGCTATTGAAAAACATGGTTGACACCGGTAGTTGATCAGAGCATACGCTAGTTTTTTTTATATTAGTTTGCAAAAAAGTTTCTCGAAAGCTAAAAATAAATGATCTTGCAAGGTGTTTATTAATTCAAATTCACCATAAGTTTTTAGGTTTGGTATTGAGAATTTTAGCTAGCCAGTTTCGAAAGCTTTTCCATTGTCAAATATATTTCTGCTATGATTTTCACTCTTCAATTCAAACTTTTCAGAAGCAGCTTCAAAAGTCCTTCCATTTGTGATCTGGTATCAATCTTGTATGGCCGACCAAAGTGAGATGCACCTCTCAGATCTGAGACCGACCCGATTATTGAATTTTAGCTAATTACATTTGAATAGTTCTTTCATATACGCGATCGATATCGTGCACAACAACGGCACGTTGGTTCGGTAGCTTGAAAAAAGACGATAAAAAATAGATGTCAAAAATCCGCTGTTTTTTTTTATCTGCAACATCCATCTTTGGATCCTGAACTAGAAGGTTTACTATGTACCGAAACCACAGCTGGTGTTCATGAAAACGATAGAGTGCTTTCGAATGGCCTCTACCTCTACGCCTCTAAACGAACAGCAGAAAATGAAAAAGTAATGGAAAAGATGAACATTCTAATCTTTCGACCAACTTAATAAAATTAGGTCTGTCATCTGTAAAATGCGGCCTGACGGCGCGCACATTACCGCAACCGTTTTTCAAGATAGGTAGGTTTTGCAGACCATAAAAAAATATAGGTCGTCGTATATTTATTTCAGATTCTATTGCACTAAAACAATCGTACCATCTGATATGATATATGTTCAGGACGGTACGTTTAAATTGGGAAAAGATTTCGCGGGCTAGTTGCCATAATGAATATGTGCGCATGCGCTATTCCTAGACCAGACGAAAGCCAGATCATTCTGAGACGAGGCAACAAACTTCATGGCGAAAAATAGTACGTCATTTTGATTATTTGAGGAGCGATCAGCTACTAGTTAACCTTTCCGCGATGGACAAAAACTTCCTTTTCTAAAAGCCTCTCGATAACGGGTTTAGGTTCAAATCACTCAAAACCTCACCAAAATATTTACGATACAAATTAGCGTTTTAGAGAGGAGATAGGCATTTATTGCCGATTATGTCATTCAAAAAGCTTCCCTGTTTGTCTTTTCGGCTTATAGAGATGTTTGACCAACTATCAGCCTTCCGAAAATCGACGATGGATCCGAAAATTTCCGTGAGAACTTTTCGAATCTATCTTGGTTTAGGGTCGCACCCAGTTCATGTACACAAGATAGCCTTGTGTGCAATTACGGATTAAAGAAAGAGTACTTTGAAACTGACCTCTAGGTAGTTTGGGTCCCAAAATGAAGCCGTAACCGTGACGAATGATGACCATGTTAGCTAAACACGATTGTCAGAGATGAGATCTCTAAAATATCGGAACAAAGTTAATTAAACGAATTATATGATTTTATTTGGATACATGCTCGGAAGAAACGATATATATCCCCAATGATATGAATTATATACGAGTGCAGAAAACTTTTTATACGACACTTTCACACAACGTATTTTAACTTTGTTAAGTTTTTTAATAATTTTCTTTGTGTTCTTCTTGCTTGCAACCTTATCAGGCGTTCGTGGTTGTTCCGTTCTTCTCTCTATAATGCAATTCCAGCTCAACCTTGCTTTCAATGTATCTTTGCGATTATTCTCTTTGTGGGTCGACAAACGCTCCTTGTATATGTACCCGATAGATTCTTTTGAAGAAAGTGAACCGCGCCTACGCCATACTGGAACCGTCTTCGCTGCCAATGTTTTACTCTTTTTGTCTCCCTCTTTCTCATGACAACCTATCAAAATAGTGATACCGAAACGGTCATTTTGTAGTGACGTTCCCACTTCTTCTAGTGCGCTATCAGTATTACGGTCAGCGACATCATCATCAGACGCAGTGAACAAAATACGGGGGCATGTAGCATAGTCTGAGCAATATCTTTATAACATTATTTCCTTTTTTAGGCAAGTTTCTTGGCCAAGCTATAGCGATAGCAGCTTTTCTTGTAAAAAATCTTTATATATGTGTGTGTGTGTATGCGAACGCCTATGAAATGACATCGAGAGGATACAGAGTATCACCGCTGCGTGAGTAGGTTAAGCCGAGAAGGAGCCTCCTCTGCTGGAAAGGAAAACGACATACAGAAAGAATGAGACAATACAGGGTAAATTTACGACAGACTGCGAAAGAAGACAAGGAAAGCCCCTGCGACACAGAAACTTTCAAACAATTTAGACTTACAGATTTTAATACAGGCCCGCCATTCTTACAATTGGCTACTCTTTTAATTTTGAATCGAGAGAACAAAAGTTCCTATATTGCCACGCAAAACTTAAATTCCATACGATACATTTTTCTAATAGCTGGAATGGTTTTTCAAGTAACTAAGCAGTTAGTTAAAAAGATGGCCTCTATAAAGAGAGTGCATTACTCGCTACGTTGGAGTGTCTTTTCTATAGGTCGTATTTGATAGGAATTGTCAACACCCAAATTAATAAACTTTGGGAACTAAAGGGGAACTTTCGATCGACATTGAGCCCGTTAAACATATGGCATAGACGGCACTAAATTAGCCCTGGAAACGCGGTTGTACGTGTCAAATCCGTAAACCGGCGTTAATCTAGCTTGATTATCTTTACAGTTTGGAACACGCTGCAATATTAGACCTGTGCCGCAATGTGTGCATTTTTTAAAAATAATTTCTCTATTTCATTATTTGTTAGAATTGTTTTTTTTTCTACATGAAAGGGAAGCATTGCTTTGTTCCTTAATTGACCAACGTTTCTCAAACACTGTGAGGCGCTCAAGTCTAACTGTGGGTCAAGCACCTATGCCTGCCTTTTCTACACAGCATTTGTGGGTTACAAAAACATGGCATCGTTATCGTGGATCGAACATAGATTCACAAACTTGTTTTTGCATAAGAGTCAATAGTCAATGGTTAAGAACCATGATATACTGTAGGTCGAATAACGGAAATATCCCACACATATGAGTTATTTATCAATATCAAAAATATCTCTATTGTTCGGCAAGAGGCCCCAGAGTAGCCTCATCTCACGGGATCTGTCGATTTCTGTGAGTACACACGAGATCATCCGCTGTAACATCCTCAGACGGTTGATGGCTTCCAAACGCAATCCAAATCTGGGATCGGAACAAGTTTACCACGGGCTGGGTTAACCAGATTTTCATCGAATATTCTGGCCCCGTTCGTTCGACTGTACAAGTGAGATGTGTATGCCATAAAGTTCACGATAGCTAATATCTTAATTAGACTGCTCAAAATTGAAGAGTTAATAATATCGCCTACACTTCGACATATGTCGCTACTTTTGTATGTTGATCATCTTTTTCGCAAAATAACAATAATAGATTATAACGTAAATTGAGGCATATGAGCTGTGTGAAAGAGAGATTATAATAATGTAAATGAAATTATATTAAATCAACCAGTTATAGCGGCGGCAGGTCTACTACCCTGTAGGCCTGCATTAGGCGCTATCTGTATCATCGTCTCGTATGGCAACCCTGACCACCTCTAGAGTTTATTCGGTGTCACAGCTCAATGTCAGAATTACAGCCGCGCCATACTGATCACATTATCTCATCGATTCCTGTTAGTTCAATACAATATTCTACCATGGTAATTGTCGATATCCAATTAAGCTTGTAACTCTGCTACGGTCACCGTTACGATTTAATGCCATTATCAGGTCGCAATAATAATTCCTTCCTCCTATTGAAATGTCCTTGGGTTTTGCGTCTAGTGTCGCCGTTGGACATTTTATCAGATGACGACTGGCTCCCAGCACGATACGAAGTCTGTTTACGCCCCGGTTCGAAGATCACAATGTGTTCCTAGGGTTAACCACCCACGAAGCTGTCACGGCTCGCGGCCTGTTATGTTCTACATCGTAAGCTGAAATTAAGGACACATAGTTACTAATACAAGTCCAACCAGATAGTAACTAATTACTATAGAGGCTTATATTAACACAGTTTACTATATGAGGCTGCCGTCGCGGTATTTCGAAACAACGCCCATAGGAATGGCAAGGGCGAAGTTCTTATAGCGCCAACAGAAACAACAACTTCGATGAAGCCCCGTCAAGCAAGACACCACTACAAATACCCCGTAACATTTGTAGCGAATTGTTACACTTAGGTAGATAGATGTCAGCAATTGGCATTATTTGCTTGTGACAGAGCAAAATCGAGCTCTGGAAACTGCAATTGTCCGTCGCCAGGAAGATGGTGCTTGGCCATTGTCTATTTAGAGCGTCGCCGTGTTCATAGAAGCGACTGCTGCCATTGACCAACGCTGAACCACCGTTGCTGCTCCTGCCGAACAGGTACAAGTAAAACTAAAAAAAAAACATAACCGGGCCCATTTTAGACCCAGATGCAGCGACGGGACCCCTTCTTGGCCTTGCAAGTTCACATCACGTTGCGTGCTGACGACCACACTTCTTCCTGCGTTCTCTCCCCGTTGTCTATATAGTAGGCCCGCAGGTCTAAAAAGCTCTAGGAGTCATCGCTGTATCAACACCCAAAAAAGGCGCGTTTGCCTACTACCATTCGTGCTGCTCTGCCAGTAGCCACTAGTTTAATGGTTGCAAAGTGAATGACATGAACAGCAAGCGTAGAGAAGGCGATCAAGTAGCTTTGTGAGACTAGTAAGATATAGTAAAGGAATCAGATCACTAAAGTTGCAAAGGGACAGAGACCGCGAATGAGGAGGAATATCAGATTTGGCACCCACCACGCTTTCTGAAGTTTTCACACAAACTGTTCTAGATTTACTGGCAGCAGTGGTAGATAAATTGGTATATCTACATGTGTGTGTGTGTGTATGGACGTAGGTATGGATATAGAGAGAGCTCGATATTGTAACGAACAACAAGCTCGAATAAAACAGGTCAAGCTGACAGGTGTGACAGACATTGGTGTGATTGGGGCAAACAGTAATTAGTTACGAGAAGGCAAATGAAGACATCCGTCGGCCAAGCGGTTATCGATTACAAAGGGCTGAAAATATTGTTTTATTTGGGCTAGTCAACTACATGCCTGGCAGAACTCGCCAGTATTTAGCAACACGCGTTAGGCGCGCGACTGCTGCGAGAATTCTGGTAAAATTTCTGGTCACTGCCTCCTGGGCCTTGTCTTAACTATGTTAGGTGTTTATAGTACTTAAAGGAGTTGTTAAACGCCCGTAAGCGTGAACAGAGCCGTAAGAGTGTACAGTCATAAAAGAAACTGAGGGCTAAGCTGAAGCGCCCAGAGCTTATAGTTAATGGTTTAGGTCGGTCGTCAATTCTTAGGATATATATGTATATATAGTGTTTATTGTTTAAGTATCAAGAGCTTACAGATGGTGTTAAGTTCGCTACGAACGATAACTATTGACAAAGCTAAAAGCTTTAAGCGATTCGTATGTATTATATAGGATTTTAATGTGATATGATTTCATATTCTCCGCCAATGTATCTACTTTTATTTATATTTTATGTAGAAGTATAGCCCACCGAATATCGATAAGTATACATTTTACTTCCACCTAGATCAAAATCTAACTACGCTAGCGGACGTACTTTCCCATTGTAGAATCATCTTTCCGAGCTCATCATTGATATCTATTTTTTATTATTTACTGGCATAATACGTACGTTATTTTACGTTTAATTTATTTTACTTTAATACGTTTTAGACTTAAGACGAAAAAATCCTTTTGGCGGTTGATGGAAACGTCGATTGACCGGCGCAAGTGGTGTCGAAAGCGGTCACCAAATAATTTAGAAAATGAATACGTTACAAATAATATTACGCTACAAAATAAATACCGAAAGTGGCTTAACTCCAACATGTTAAATTACAAGTTAGTCACATAAATAAAAAAGTAATAGGAGTTTAATAGCAATAGAACAGCAACTAGATTAGCAACAGTCGTACATAAATGTAACAACAGCCAGAAAAGGCACTTCGTTGAGGAACGTTTAGGAAGCGAAAATACATTTGTCATACGTATATATAATAGAAGCCGTGATCAAGGCCTTTGTTCAGCGCTGATCTTGAAGGCCATGCAATCGGAGATGTCCTGAGCTTCTGTCTATGAGAGCTCGATTTTCGTTTGGATATTTAATTAGGAGCCCCATCTTCAAACGTTATATCGCCGCACTTCTGTCCTGCTTACTAGTGCAATGCTTACCGATTGATCTGACAGCTGAATGTTGGCTGCGGAAACATCGTTCCCGCGGCGGTATAGCTATGGAAACATCTTTTTCAGAATCCGACCAGTCACCCCTCCCCCCGCTTCCGGCCCCCGGTCGCTCACTGAAAAGCCGTGGATTTTTTTTATATGTTACTGAACCCGGAAGCTAACATTATCCAAAACGTCCAGATCTATTTTACGATCATTTGATGAAGCTTATACAGTGTCGCTTTCAAATAATAAAAAATAAGACACTCCTGGTACGAGACGTATAGATTTTTGAAACCACGACGATCTGCTGTCCCTCGGGACTCTCTTCACCATTGTCTGTTTAACGGCCTGAACATTGTAAATGCGTGGTTTTTATAAAGAGATCTTTCATTGAAAGGCAGTATTCTAAACGAAAGCGACGAAACACAACATATATTAATTTTACATCATGCCCATTTATCATTTTTACGTTTCACTATTCATAAAATCAATTATGTTAAGTGATTCCTATTTTTGATGATGCTTAACGAACAGCTCATCAGAAAGCTATCAGTTGGATCCGTAAGTCAAAAGTAGCTAAGTGATACGTAGCTTTTTTTTACCTGTCACCCCGGCCGGTTTGGCAGGTCGGGGGTTTCAGCAGTTAAGACAGGTGGCTCGCATACGGAAGTTGCTCTTTGCAGGTATCACATCGTTTATCTCTTCACGGCGATCAAGCTCACGAAGAGATAGCTATCTTACAGCTGGACATCATACAAACCAGGTAGTCAACGATGTCAAACGCTAAGGTCATACCACGACGACCTCTATTGACTGCGCGTTCCAGCAAAATGATTGTTGCCAATTCAAATAAACCTCGCTGTTACCGCATCAGCACTATCCGAAGATGAAAAGGTGGCGGCACTATCTACGTTACCACACCGGCAACGTCAACGTCACGGTTGTCGCCGCCATCATCATCCGCAGCAGTAAGGACAGCAGCGGCAGCAGCCGCTTCTCCAAGTTTACAGATGAGTCGAGCAAACGGAATGTGTCCAAGCCGTAACGCATAAGCGGAATAAGAGTGTTGCTGATATGGCTGCTGTGAACGTAAGGCGGAGCTGTTGGTCTGACAGATACATGCTGGGGCTAACGCTACTGTGGCCGTCTACCTATGTGCATTACGATCTACGCCATGACAACCGACGCAACAACGGCCAAGCCACCCCTGTGGATTATCGTGCTGCGTGCTACTGCCCGTATCGTCGGGATGTGCATGCATGTATGTAAAATGTACAGAGTGTCTATATAGCCTTACAACAGTACTACACTCCCTAAGTACTGAACACAAACAGATGCGAAAGCGACAAAGATGACTGCGCGATTTATGTAGCAATGTGATGGTGAAAGCACTGGATGCAGGCTAGGATCCGTCACCACCAACTTTAATGTGCCTCAGAGTACGGCAGATAACAACAGCAAAACATGACCATCTTCGAATGTTTTAGACCACACTATATAGCTATTTAAATCTATAAAGAGCTACATCTGTTCTGTGTACATGAAAAGGACGCCTGAGGCTTTGCGCATCTCTTCATTATTTTTTGTAGCGGGTCCTGTGTTCTGCGAAGAGAAACAGAATTGGAATAATTCCTCTACATGTGGCTAGACATTTGCACGTTCAGATGAAACAATTATAGAAGGTGTACAATAATCGCATAGATAAGTTCACATAGATAAACCAGTTCCGTGCCCTTCAAAAACTATATATATTCGCAGAGACCAGCAGTTAATGTCTATGGATACACAGATCACAGTCACAAAACTTAGTGTTGCTTCATGTTGAAGCCATAGCCCGTCTCCGAATCCCTGCACAGAAGAATATGAAAGGGACGAGCAAAAATCGATTAATAGATAAACATTTGAATTCGAAGGGGAAAAGCAAAAAACTTGGAATAGAGAAGATCACTCGCGTGTCAGGAGAAATTGAAATAGAAATGGAGGCTCGGTTAGGAACGGAACAATTACCTGGACCTAGAAGTTGTTAAAAGTTACCTAGGGACAGTAAGAGGAGATGACGAGCTGTTTAAATGAAACTGCTACTCTTGTGGTTATATTGATAAACAAGGATCGGGACCTTATTTTTGTGGAGAAAGGTTACAGTGCTCTATTTCACATGTAGCAAGGAACAAGTCGAAAAGAAAATACCTCAGCTATAAGAAAACTGCGGAAGGTATCCGAAGTTGTAATTTCATAATTTACCTTATAGATAACATAGGAGCACGGCAGAAAAACTCTATTAACGCCAACTAAACATGCGTGGATAGCCGTGACAATTGTCAAAAAAGAAGGGCGAGATGGCGCTTGACGCCGCCCATATAATTGGATGTTATTCGTTGCCCAATTGCCATCGTTGAAAAACCAAGGAGCGCCTCAGGCATAGCGTAGAAAAAAACTGTTCGACCTTTTTCTTTATAGTAGCCCTATAAACCTTTAAGAGACAACAGAAATGGACAGAGAAAACGAAATTTTAGAGGAGCTGAAAGTTAAGTTCTTCGACGGATTGGCATAGTGAACAGGTTGTCTTTTTGTCAATACATGTTACCGGCATAAAGAAAGATAGACGAACTTTTGCAATACGCTTCTGTAAGTTTACGTACATGCAGCGCAAAACGTAAAGAAATGAATGTAACGTCCACATGCAGACATAGGAATCACCTTTCCATTGCCGTGACGTCCAC